CTTGTGATTGGATCAATGTTTCCAGACTCGCTAAGTCGTTGTGTTAATTAAAAAAAACAGATTGTGCAATCTTCTGCATTACCGCTACCTGCCTAACCCTTCACTTTCCTTTTCTCAAATTATATTGTACATTGCTATGATTTTAAGTGAAATTTTATAATTTACTCCGCCTAATTCACATTGTGCTGGTAATGTAGTGGAGTCTACATTTGTTTAATGTATATGCTTGTAGAGTATTGCGTTCTTAAATGGTTCTCGCTGTAAGCGAGGTCACCCTTGCATGAGTGGGAATGCCGCTCGACGCGTTTCGCTCATCTCCCGGTCGACAGATCCGCACACATTCTCCCCGCGTAGACAACACATGAACCTTGTATCCAGAAGAGCCACACTGAACCCCACACGTGCGAGGCGGAAACCCTATATCCCCGTACAGATGGAAACAGATGGCGATCAGTCTACTTGCTATACTACCCTCTGGCGAGCAAGGGGTACGGAGGGGTGGTGGCGGGCCGTACCGTCGATCTTGTTGGAGCTGTACACCACGGTGTTGGCGGCGTGCGTGTAGCGGATGAGATCCACCCCGTACTTCTTGCTGTAGAGCGTCCTCTTGGGCCTGAAGGAGAGGAGTGTCCGGTTAGAGGGATCGCTCTCACAAGCGCGGGCGCGCGAGGCTTCTCGTCGCAGGTCGTGTACCCGTCACGGTAGCCACGGCACGCGTGTGCCGATGCGGGCTATCCAACTCTTGCGGCCTTTGTGTGCTCTCGTTCAGATTTAAACGAGGCTCGTGATGACCACTCGGCCATGCTAAGATTCGCCACAAAACAGCTTAGCCGATTCTATCAAACCGACCCCGTCTCATCTCCCACCGTGACGATGGCGGTAGTGATTGGAGGTGGTCCTCGTGAGGGAGGTAATCTGCCGCTGACCCACGGCACTCACTTGCCCTCCTGGCAGTCGTACAGCACGATGGAGTCGTCGTCGCTGCTGGAGATCATGGTCTCGCCATTGGGCGCGAAGTCGAAGCAGTTGATCTTGTCCGAGTTCTCGCGGAAAACCTTGGCCACCCTGAAGCTCCTCATCACGTTGTCGGTCAGCTTCATGGCTGCCGGTGCTGCGGGGTCACGGCGCTGCTCTGCGTGGAGAGAGGAGCTGAGAGCTGTCTCCGAGCCTCCACACGGTGCCCGAGTCTCTCAGGGCCCCAGTGTCTCCCCGTGTCTCTCTCTCTCTCCCCGTGTCTCCCCGTGTCTCTCTCTGTTTCTCTGTCCGCGCGCCTCCACGCACCCGCGCGAACAGCACCGGAAGAGAACTGGCGCGGCGGGCTCAGAGGTCACGATAACACTTCCGGAAGAGTACGGGGGGAGGGGGCTAAAGTGGGTGGGGCTAAAGCGGGGGAAGGCCAAGGAGAGGCGGGGCTGGAGGGGGGCCGTGCCCCGCTGTGAGTGGGGAGCGGTGGCGCCGCGCTGAGCGCAGTGCGAGTCCACGCGGTCGCCCGACCACGTGGAGTCGAATGCGGCGACAGCCGACGTCAGTGGTGAATGTCGGAACGGGTCTCGGCTCTACCCTCGGTCGACTCGGCTTTAAATAAATACCTGTCGCGGTATGTACGCATCGCCAGTGTGGCGTGGTTCTCGCCACACCACCCTGCATAGGTGTGCCGTACCGGTCTTAATAGGTGCTCTCGCTAACAGCACTTTCCCCAAGATACTGTGTGGACTGCACGGTTCGATCTCTCTTCCACAAGTAGTTGTCGCGTTCACGTGACCGTGAAGTGCCTTGTTCTGTTATTTGTCAAGAAATCAAACATTTGTGAACGGCTTAAGATATTGGTGAAAATACAAAAATTAAGGATCAAACATAGTCACATGTATCTAGCCAGAGAATACATCGTTTTTATATTATTTAATCATGAGACCGATCCACACAAGTGTGGGGGCCGACGTATACCCCACCGCCCTCCTCCACCGCGTCGGTCGGCTCCCGCCGGGCCCCCGCCAAGCGCGGGACCGGGCCCTCCGCGCTCGAGCCCTCTCCGAGGGACACACTCATACTGTTGGCTCACAGCCGCACGGAGTTACTCCACACACGCCCACGTACACCACTACAGCTAACGCGGCGGTGCTAACGCGCGCGTTTCCCCACGCAGTCGCTCCACACACAAATCACGGACACTATACCGATGCTCTGTGCTAACTTTTATTCACGGCGCAAACCCTGCACTACCCGGAGATAATATTCTACGAACAGAGCCTAGCCTACTGCTACCCAAGTCCTCAAATACTCACACGCCCTATCACGTACCTCGCAGCTGTACTCACGGCGTCGTACGGACGCTGTGAGAGTCAGAGGGAGGATGACGAAAAACCTCGCCTATCACTGCCTCGTAGCAGCACTGGCTGGCATCACACGGATGCTGCGAGCGACTCAAGGAGGCAGGACAGCAGGGGCCGGGGCTTAGCGACCAAGCTGTTGAAGAAGAGTTCGTTGGGACACTGTCTACAGGAAGGCCACTCACACGGATACCTATCTAAACCCTGACTCCCACCATCATCCAGCCCAGAATAATTCCCTCATCAAAACACGACACCATAGGGCCCGTTGCATCTCCGATCAGCACCACCTAGCCAGTGAGCTGAAGCACATACACCAAGCCCTCACGATGAATGGATATTCTGACCGTACAATCCGCAAAGCTGTCTCCCCAGCGATGGGGAGACAACCATCCAAGGATCCAATTAAAACCATCACTTTGCCATACATAGCAGGGGTTACCAAAAAGATCTCCAAAATCTTAAACACAAGATCCAGGTTCGTTTCAACACAGTACACAAAATCCATGATTTGATCCCATCTGTAAAGGATGTGATTTCTGACATGCCAATACCCTGGTGTCTACAAACTAAGTTGTGGCTGTGGCAGCCGTTACATTGGGGAAACGAAACGACGTCTCTCGGATCGTGTTCGTGAATACAAGGCAGATCTGAAACACGGTAGGACCAATACCTCTGCCGTTGCTGATCATTGTTTTAACGATGTGGGCTCACAAGAAATTTATTTTTCCAAGACGAGGGTACTCTGCAAACCTAGTGGCTATCAGAGATTTGTTCATGAAGCAATCCAGATATATAAACACAGACACAACTTCAACCGAGAAGATGGGTACAAACTGAGAAATCATTGGAAGGACGTTATTAACCAAGTAAAGTCTTCACTGACTGATGTTTCAATCCTACTTACCTATGTCAGCAGTTTTTTCCGACTCTCTGTGTGCCTCTCTCTCTTTCTCCCTCTCATCATGTGTACCTCTTGCTCTTAGGGTTTTTTTGTTCCTGTTTCCCAGCTCTCTGACATTGACATGCTAATCTTCTCATTGGCACTCCTCCGGTGGCTGGGCCGTCTCACATTGACATGCTAATCTCTCACATTTACATTTACGTACAAATTCCTTTTCTAGCTCCGCCCACTTACCCTTGGGTTGGGCCCACCAAAATCCGATATAAACTCTTGTTGCAGCAGCTTTCTCCTACGACAGCAGTCCTCCTGCTGTGTTTGTTTCACACCTGATGACGGTTGCTTGTGTTGCGATCGAAACGTCGTGATCTATTATTTTTTCTACCTACGTGACTTTACCGAAAGAACCAAAGAGTATGGATTTCTGCAGTCACGAAAACTTCAAATCAAGATTGAAGAGTTCTCATCTGAACGGTTTTAGGCTCCCCTTTTTATGCCCCTTGACTTCAACAATCCAGGGTTACGTTATCCAGCGCAGCCAACCGTGCGCCTACCTGTGATTTTTGCTCGTTTTTCTTCCCTTACATGGAGCGATGGGACGGTTACTCCTGCGACCTATTGTCTATGCACCCGGACTCATTAATTTCTAACTCAACCCGTTTAATCTGGAAGGACGTCTGGCTGGCGAATACACACCCTGCTCATGTGTATTTGGCCTGGGGCCGGGGGAGGTCGAGGCGCTGGGATCCCCTAACCTCGTCTGCTCTGCTCGCTTAATATTTCACACCAGCCCCCTCCCCGATGTTGTGCATGACTCATTGCGGCTGGCCCGGTGAACCTTTGTGCGCCCAGACAATTTTAAGCCAATTTAGGGGCACCGCAATGTGACCTGTCCTGCGAGGGTCGGCCAATCTCCTGGCACCGGGAATCCGTGGGACTTTCCCTCGAGAGACCCTTCGGATTAAAACCCGTTGTGCCAGGCAATCCCCCGCCGGGACACGACGTCTAACACACTTGGACTGCACCCTCGCCTTCAGCTCCACCTCTCTCTCCCCCCCTCCCTCCCCCCATTGTCTAACACACTCGCTTCACTCCTACTTCTAGTGCTTTACTCCGACATGAGCACTGGCTGCCCCGCCCATGCTGTTTACGCCGCACAGCTTTGCTGACTCTGAAAGCCCTTTTATTATAAGCAGTTGCATTTGGAGGCTTGCCCCCTATTTTCTCTCCGCCTGATGAAGACCACTTGTGTTGTGATCGAAACGTCGTGGTTTTTTGCTTTATTTTTTATTGAATTTAATTTTCTATCTACGTGACTTTACCAAAAGAACCAAGAATATGAATTCCTGCAGTCACGAAAGTTAAGTCAAAATTTAAGCAGATAGTCCACCGCCGAACGATCTAACTCATTTGAAGGCCAATGTAGACAAATTATTATCGAGGCTTCACCCCCCCCCCCCCCCGTTTCCTATGCATATGTATATTGTCAGTAGACCCCCCCATACGCAAGCGTACGCATTTGGGTTAACCCCCCTCCCCCCTCCATGCGTACGTACTAAATGGATGGCCCCTTACTGCGTAAGGGTCAACAGTTGAGCTGACAGATTTCAAGCAAAGTAGCAGGATGTGGGGATACTGATCCCTGTTCGAGGGCTTATTTCAGCCCCGAGACTGCCTACAACACGAAGTCCCGGATGAGGTCCCCACCGTTTGTCACCCTCAGCAAAGACACAAAACATCCACGCGCTGCACAATCGGCAGCAGAAACGTTCAAGTTGTGCAAGCCTCCCCACGTGGCTCGTTTATTGCGACAGACATCGTGGTTTACAACAAAGCTCGGCATTAACTTGAGTTTAGTATGGCAGCATTTTATTTACACGAGTGAACGGATAATTTTAAATAAAGTACTGTATAGCAAAGACCTGATTTAGCAAACCCATGTATTTAAGGTTTCAAGTTGTATGATTCATGATCGTAGAGAGAAGTTTATCTGCAACGTTGCTGAATTACCAACTCACTCCAGCTTCATAATTAGCTCCAAAATTAGAGATGGCCGGGTGGCTCAGAGGCCAGGGTGCTGAGCTAACACCGCTGAGACCCGGGGTTTGAAACCAGGTTCCAGCAACCTGTAATTAAATGCTCAAGTTTGGCAAGCTCATAGCTCGGTCACCAATTACAGGACACCGAGAATACAACTATGATTACAAAATTATTAAGAAATATACATATAAAATGTAACCTTAAATTATAGTTTAGTTTACTGGAAGGGTTTGGTGATCAGAGCAATGTCTCCGTGGGCCATGTAACATCGCGACAAACGAGTGAGTGCATGAGAGGACCATTCTGTTGTCATTGAAGAAAACTGCAGTGCATTCTACAGCTGCGCCAATGGAGAGAACTAGGCGGAATAAGCAAGACAAAAAAATGGACACGAACTAATCCTTGACACAAATGGGGGTGCCCCTGAATCGTGAGAATCCACGCAATGGTTGGATGGGCAGGGGAGGGGGGCAAGGAGGTGGCGGGCGAGCGAGCGGGCGACGCGGCTCCGCCAGTGTTGCCTGTGCCGCTGTGCCGCACGAGCGATGGGCGCCGCTTCTCTGCACTCGTGGACACTGCGCAGCCACATTTCCTCAGCTCTTTGAGTTGTGGTTCTCAACCACAAAACTGCCAAATAGTTATTTTGAGTTGGTGGTCTAGATGGGGTTCCTTGCAATTTACAGATGAGAATTGTGTGGATTCCACTGTCTGATTTACCCGTGATGTTTTTTGAGTGAATGGCTCGGTGCAAGTGAAGCCACACAAAGCTCGCCCGGTGAGGACGCCACTCGAGAGTGGCAAGGAAACGTCAGCGGCGTTCCACATCCAACGTTGTCCTCCTCAGTCAAGGAAGAAGATATTGCTGAAGTGGGTGACAGACAGCTTCTTCACTTCCTCTGTGGCGACAAGAGAGAAATGCAAATGACATTTGACCCCACACGCGCACGAGAGGGATGATGGCGAGCTCGGCACGGCTGTCCACACAGAAAGCGCTTGAATCGGGAATCGAACCAAGGGACTTCTTACTGTGAGGTGCCCAGGCTTTCCCAAGAACAAGCATGAATCTTAATGATAAAGCACAAAATACATCTGTTTGCTTGTGTGAAGCAGCAAAAACTCTCTCGACCGCTGAGCTCTGGCGTCATGAAATTTGGACAGCTTAATGCTGTTTGGAATTTCTAAGTCAACGTGACTATTTTCGGCTCGTTATGTCATTCCCTTCCCGAGTTGCCAAAATCGACCTTATGTATAAGTGGATTAAGGCCACCACACTGATACCACGTGATGCATTACTCACAATACCCTCACAGTGTTACCACATGACACATTACTCACAATATCCTGTTCGGCTTGCATTTGCAATCACCATTAATACATCGCAGGGACAGTCACTTAAAGTTACAGGTTTGGATTTGACAGACGAATGCTTCTCACATGGACAGCTGTATGTTGGAATGTCAAGAACAAAGGATCCAACAAAATTATACATTGTCAGCGATGAAGAAACAAAATCCAAAAATGTTGTGTACAGTCAAGTGTTGAAATAATCACATTATGAATAAATAATTTATGATGACTGAATTAGTTACATTTATTTGTTTCGGCTTTTTTCTTTCTTGCAAGCAGCAATTTTTTTCAGGGTTTTTCAGTGAAATATAAGGGAATATGAAATTAATCCAAGACAAGAATCCAAGTCCTGGGAGAAACTAGGTATTAAAGCTAGTATAATAATAATAAACAACCCAATGAGTTGGCCACACACAGGAAGCTCAACCTGTGGCACAGGCTATGGGCGGACGTGACACAGGACCTAAGGGAGCCTCACGTAATCATGTCTCACAACATCCATGCGCAAAGAGTATTGGTGGATTTGATACCAGAAAGTAAACAGGGTGCTGAGTTCCAGCCATTAATCCAGCTGGAAGGACTGGATAGTTAGATGGCGAGATTTCAGGAACACAGTTGTTTTGCTGTGATTTCTATTTGATTAATTATTGTTTATGCCCTTGCTTTTGTCATTTTAGTGACCCAGATCACTCTTGCAAAATGAGCCTCCATCCTCGTCTCTTGAGCTCTCACATGGCTGACCAAATCAACTTCGGTTTTGTTTAGCCAGGTAAGAGCAACAGCTCTGACTGTAACAGCAAAGCAGTGGCAGTTGGCAGGGGGCAACGTGCGGCAGTGTAAGCGGAGGCCATGCGCACCGTTGACCTCGATGAGGTTGGCGTTCTTCTGGTTGAGGATGATGTAGAGCTCACGCTGGTCAGACTTCTTCCCCACCACCCAGTAGTCGGACATGGCCTTCACGACTACCTCCTCGTCCTCGCTGGCCCTGCAAAGACAACGCGAGCTCCCGCATCGGTGCTCAAATCCTGCTTAAGGCTCTCAGTCAGTGGTGGACATTCTACATTGCTATGAAAGCAGCGAGTCTGCTCCACAAAGAGGTACTGTACTCGTATAATAGACCCGAATTGTTCCTGGAGTCTCAGTAGCCAATGTGGTCTCAGATAGGTGTAGTGTTAGGGATATAGGTTCGCACTCTAGTCTATGGGTTTGGGGTATGTGTTCAGGCTATGGCTTCGGGCTATGGGTTATGGCTTCGGCTTATGGGTTCGGGTTGTGGGTTTGGGCTATGGGTTCGGGCTATAGGTTCGGGTTATAGGTTCAGGTTATGGGTTGGAGCTAGGTGTAGGCGTGGGGCCGTGGTTGGGGCCGTGGTTGCAGCCGAGGCTGCGTGCGGTCACCTGGTGAAGTCGCCGTGCACGTCCCCCAAGATGCGCATGAGCTCGGGCGGCGCATTTGCCGGCGCCATAGCGTGCGCTGCGCGCCGTCCGTGCAGCGTCGTCTTCTCTGCCAGGTTCATGCGGTTGAAGTAAATGAACTTGAACTGCGGCTCCTTGTCGGTCCTGGCAAGACGCACGGCGAGACGGGGCCATCGTCGCGTCAAACGGGTACCAGCGCTCCACCCTCCAAGTCGTCACGTGCGGCCAAACCTCCGGCGAGCTCTGCCGAGCTCATCTCTTCTTTACAGCCGTCGGTCGGTGGTGGAAAGTCTATGTTCCTATGGCAGGGGTGAGTCTATCCATAGCACAACCGCTGTTGACTTCCCCGCAAAGTGGTACGGCAAATCTTCGTATAACGCGTGGTGTTCGCACACTGCGTTTTCTATTCGGGAACACCTTTTTCCCATTCTTATGTGAAACGCGCCTCGTTATAACACGGTTTATGAGCAGTCGACGACAAACTACTTTCTTGAGCTGCGTGGATGAGCGGTACAGTGATACAGTACGTGGAATGATACAGTAATGTGGTGGCGTACCCTCAGTAATTAGTCCCGCCATCTTACTGTGTGTGTGTACATCGTATCTCGCCAAATTTTATCGTTACATTATTTATGGTGAAATATTTTTTGCTTTAAGTGTGTTTCGCTTTACGTGGTACTTTTCAGGAATGCATCTACCGCGTTAAACGAGGACTTACCATACTTTATCAACCACGTACAGATGACGGGCTGAGTCGACCCCCCAACCTGGATTTGAACTCGCGACCTTCCGAATGTTGGGAGCGGCTCGCTCAAGCATGGACCCACCGGGCAGGATATTTGAGCGCGACACACAAACCCAAATTCGTGCACGAGCAGACCTCTCAAACGTGACGCAGGCGGCTCCATGCACGGGGACAGCCAACGACGACGAGGATTGCGTCGGGAGCCAAGAATCGCAGCGGGCAGAGCGATGTGGAGTGTAAGAGTTATGTGGCGTGTGGAAGTGAGGTGGAGTGATGTGGAGTTATGTGGAGTGATGTGTAGGAGTGTTGGAGTGGGAAGGCTGGTGGCAGTGTTGTGGACAATCTGGAGTGTCACTGGAGTGGGATTCCGCTCTGCCTGTGCATGTTGTTTTTGTTGTTGTGAGCGAGCGAGCATTCAAGTTAGCGAGTGTGCGAGTCCGTCGTGAACTCGGTGCTGCCGAGGTAGGCGACAGCCGCTACTCACGCGGCGCGCCGATTGACCGTAAACTGCTCCGCGATGTCGGAGGCTAGGAGCGTTAGCTGCGGACCCACCAGCCGGTCAAGCTCCCGGAAGTAATCGATGGTGAGATCCACGGAGGCTGTGGGGCAGGGGACAGCATAAAGTACACGACGCGCCACATCATGCGGCACACGGCACACTCAACGCGCCGACCACAAAGTTCACTATAAACAGCTAGGTTTTCATAGCCAGTATCATTATTAAAATTATTTAACACTGGTTAAACACTCAGACTCACACCAGGGCTTGGTGTTCTCTATACTCGGTCCTTCCCATGGACCCCCAAGCTCTACTCATCCTAACCTCCGCCTATCCCTTGGGCTCTCCGACTCGGGCTGGGGCGGGGGTTCATTCAACACCGCCCGGCCGTGGAGAGAAGAACCCCAATCACTCCCAGCCGATTCTCACCGACTTCTTCGAGCCCTTCTCTCGGCTATCTCTTCGGCTCTCCAACTCGTCGACCCCGGACGGGGGTTCAGCCAACACCGTCCGGTCACGAGCGGTAGAGACCTCCCGCAGCCGATCCACACTCCGGGCTCCCACAACGATGCCGCCTTCGTCACGGGGTCCCCCTAAAGTACCCCTTGGGCGGCTCCTCCCCTTCACTCGCCCCTGTTCCCGAAGGTATCCCCTTACAGTACCCATGACATGATGTCACTACCCCTCTACACATATCCACGTCTCCCCACATAGAAAAATAAACAAGCATATCCGACACAATAATCAGCCACACCGATTTCTGGAAGTGTGTAATTTCAGCAGCTTTGATGCAGAACAAGCAAACTCTGGAACGATTTTGACAAGCAGTATCTTTGTCAGCAGCAGAAACAGGCTTCCTTGGATCAATGCTGGTGAACTGCCAAATGTTATAGGCAAGACACCATATTTAAGATATATGTCTTAGTTTGTCATATTGGTGACTCAGGTTATTCATCCTGGTCTCTAGAGTTCTCACCTGGATAACCAACATCAACTTGCCACTAGAACTTGGTACTGAGCGCACACAACAATAACTGCCATTCTCAACGAGGTAGTGGTGTCATCAAGTAGCGGTGACGTCACCACAGCACTTGTGCCAGGCTAGGTGCACTTTGAGGCCACGTGAATGAAGTGTCGAAGGATTGCTAGTAGTAAGTCACGGGACAGACCCAGGTGCCATGGGTTGACTGACTGATATGACTGGCAGAGGCACGAAATGAGCACACACACACACACTTACCGTCCACCATGAAGCACGCACACACACACTTAGCGTCCACCATGAAGCACGCACACACACACTTACCGTCCACCATGAAGCACGCACACACTTACCGTCCACCATGAAGCACACGGCCGCACTCAGCGCCTGGAAAGGCATGGAAACGCAGGATGAGCAGAGTACAAATTATGATTACTACTACTCTGCTTGTGTACCCAGGAAACTCTTTGTCCGGATGGTTCTGCCCGGCTGTCCCAGTGCAGCTGCTGGCATCGCAGCACAGCGAGAGGGTCAGGTACGAGCGCCCACCCTGCGAGGCGCACAGCGGACGTGCGGTGAGTAGGGCGCACCTTGTAGACTATGAGGTGCAGCTCCTGGGGCGCTGTGTTGGTGGTGACGAAGATGCGGGGCACGCGCACCGACCCGCCCGGCTCCGCCAGGCTGCTGGGGCCCAGCAGGAACCTGCGCGCTCACACACTTGTTAATTATTGTTGTTCTGTTTATGCTTTGTTTACACAGGAATGTATCGGCGCTTCACAGCAATAATGGCCGGGGTTCCATTCTCAACTCGGGCGCCTGTCTGCGTGGAGTCTGTATGTTCTCTCTCCCCCTGTTCTGCATAGGTTTCCTCCTATAGCTAAAAACAATACACAAAGTGTAACTGGTGTTAGCCTAACACCCCAATTCTTAAACGATCACCTCCATATTACTAAATTGCACACTCACTGAGTCTGGAGACTCACTGAGTCTGGAGACTCAGTGAGTGTTTCCTGCGTAAACAAGCGGAATCATAACAAGTAGTGTACAATAATTGCAACAATCTATTTGCTGTACTGCCATATCCTAGCAAGCCAGGAGATGGCGGTGGTGCGAGGGAGATGTCTCACCTGCCGTAGTGCTGCAGGTTGGTGGGGCTGCCGCTGCGAATGGGAGATTCCTTCCCTGCCAGCTGCACACACAGAACGCAACCGCCAGCCACGGTCAACTCAATGTGAGCAACCGGGACGTGTCACACCGTCGCGTCGCTTCTCACAGAGCGCTGTCGTACAATCAAATCAGACACCCGACGGAATCACCGATCAGCCCATATATGGAAGTAGGCGTGGTGTTGCCCGTAGGGGCGTATCTCTGCCCATATATGGTCTTGTGAAACCTGAATCAAGGTGTCTATTGTATCGATTCTGCTCAGTGGATCCAACAACGGAATCACCGATCAGCCCATATATGGAAGAAAGTAGGCGTGGTGTTGCCCGTAGGGGCGTATCTCTGCCCATATATGGTCTTGTGAAACCTGAATCAAGGTGTATCGATTCTGCTCACAGTTGATCCAACAGCCACGTTAGAATATCGATACTACGAGGGTTAATCACTTGCGTCGATTGACAATTGATGCATGGACCGAGTAATCCCATTGGTTAGAATAGCGTCACGTGAAACACCCCGTTTTCTTGATTGGCAAATAGCTGCGTAATCGGAGATTCGCTCGCAATCCGTTTTCATCACGCGTCACAGCGCCTTTCGCGCCGGGGCCGCGTCCCACAGCACTTGGGGTGCAACAAACGACACTCGTTACAGCGGAGACAGCCGTTTAAAGCGCCTATGGGGAAGCGACTGGACGTCATCCGGACGGCGAAGGGGCTGGCGGCTCTCACCTCCGCCTCCACCGTGCTGGGGAACAGCGACGTGGTGAGATACTTGTAGAGAATTCGCATGTCCTCTTGCTCCAAACCGCTCCTGCGCATGTAGACAAAGGTTCTCCGTGTAGCCTCCGATTATCACGGTTGGCTATGTACGATGCGAAAGAAGCTCATCATACGTACATACATATCTATATTTGAAGTACATACATATGTACACGGCGCACTAGGTACTCAATTAAGGCTGTGTCAACCTAGACGAGACCCAGGACCGGTTCAGATATGGTCACCGATATTGGGCGTGAACGGAAATTGAACTCAGGTAACCGGGTCCGGAGCACGGTATGCTTACCGCTTCCCATACACATGTATAGACACATGTACACTCACGCAGATACCCTAATACACACACTCACTCACCACACGAGCCCCTCTCACTCACCACACGAGCTGTTCGTGGTAGAGGAAGGCCGTGCAGGACACGGCGCTGAGCGCGGCCTCCACGCGGTTGACAAACGACTGCACCTTGAGGTACGTCATCTTGTCCAGCGGGAAGAACGTGATGCCGCCCAGGGCGTCCAGCAGGTCGCACTGCGCCAGGCGCAGCGTAGGCAGGTACTGGGGAGAGCGCACCAACACCACGGCAGCGTCACAACTACTGTGTTCACACGTGTGCTCAACACAGACGCAAGGGTTCAAAATATCAAGTTTCGAGCAACAAATGGCATTTAAAGGTGAGGAATCTCCTGCTAACTACCGCCACCTCCTGGCTCTGCAGAGTATGGCAGTTGAGCAAGTGGATTTTTATTTTTCTGCACATTTACCCAAGAAAGCCTCACAGAGTCTGAAGACTTTTTCAGGCGGATCCTGCCACGTTTGTCGCAGTATGGGCGCGATGCTGCTGCGTGATTTCAAATGGGGGGATTCCCGTGCAAGACCTCTCTCCATTGACAATACATCTCCGCGTGGCAATACCGCCTCCAGTAGCAATACCCGCTGCGGGTGGGAATACGTAGCCCATGTGGCAATACCCCGTCCTCGTGGCTGCTGCTCGGAAGGAGTTTGAACACCGTAGCTGGCAGGAAAGGGAGTGAGACTCACGCGCGAGAAGAATTCGTGCAGACGCCGTTTGAGAGTCTCCACTCCACCTGCAGCCAAGGCCGTCTCAAACGTCCCCTTGAAAAGCTGCACGCACAGACACGCAATAGAACACACATGCATGCACACAATGGTAGCATTCACAACCAGCACTAATACACACAAAGATGCACATATACTAACACACACAATGCATTCCACACACAACAACCGCCGTTCGTCATAAAGTGCCGGTGAAGTAACAACGCTACTTATGTTGAGCTTCTTTCGCACTGTACGTTGCCAACCGTGCTAATCGGTGGTGTGCCATGCTAGGTGCACAAAAACAAATACACACGCACGGAACTCCACACAATACACAAAGACATATATACACACATAGTACACACATACAATTCAGATGGAGAATATTATGCGTAGGTGAATCTCACCGCAGTGTGACCGTTACCTTGTACATGCTGTAACTCTGTTGCAGGACAGCTTTGTAGACATTGTCCTGTAAGCAGACACGGACCTCTTATTGATTACGATTTTGCTCATGTCCCAGGAAATCCTTACCGAGTCTCAAGACCTTTTTTCAGGATGGTCCTGCCAAGTTTGTCACAGTATTGGGTGACGTTGCTGCTGCTGTGATCACATTTGAGTAATGTGCAGGTAATGTTTCCACATTGGGATGTTTGGCTGATACCGGTTCCATCGTATGTTGTTTTTAGCTATGGTCGGACACCCAAGCAGATTGGCAGTGATGCCACACACGGTCTCAAGTGATCCGCGTGAGATCCGTGTGCATGCGAGATCCGGTGAGAGCCAAACTCACAAGCAGCTCCTCCTCCTGGTACTCGCGCGTGCGCGGTCCATCCTTCTCCTGCTTCTCCAACGTGGGGTTACTCACCACCTGGGCACACACCGCACAACCGCGCAGCACACACAACCAGAGAGCACACCACCGCACCACACGGAACAGCACCACATACAAACGAGATATTATGTCACGGGCCATAGCCGTTGATGCCCCCACTGCATCTCCTCGCGACCGATGCTCTGCACCCTCCTGCAAACCCTGCAGCTGCTGCACAGAGACCCATAGACTCACACAGAGACCCATAGATCTGCTCTAACAGTCTCCCACCATCTACTGTGAGGTTTTCTCTTGCCATCGGTCACCGAACTCGTGGGGACCGCTACGACGGTGCCCTCGGCAATTGGGCGGCACCAGCAGTGAGAGAGGGCCCTGAGCAGCCGGAGGCCGCGTAACGCGGTTGGAACCAAGAACAAGGTTCAAATCTCAAGTTTGCTGAGAAGCACGTCTGCTGAGCTTGGTCTGCAGGAAAAAGTGGCCAACCCAACCCGGGTACGCTGCTTAAGCCACGGTGTTCCCGCCGCCCGCGACGTTACCGCGAAGGGAGCGAGGAGCACCATCGCGCCGTCCCCGGCACAGAGCCGCGGCGGGGATGGAGGGGACCGAGGCCTCGCGGCCAGCACGCTGTGCGGTGTCCCTCACCATCACCATCCAGAAGTTCTCCTCGGCCTCGAGGAAGAGCTGCCGGTTCGTCTGCGTGTGCAGTGCCTGCGCCGGCTCCTCCGTGCAGAACGTCCTGCAACAACAACACAAAGTTCCCCGTATTGCCTGAACAGACTGCTGGGACAAGTGCAGTTCGCGAGTAGCACCTATGAATGACGGCACGGCACATGACGGGGTGGGTGGCCAGCACCACCTTTGTCTCTCCAGTCACACCTCACACAGTCACAACACACTGACGGTCACAAAACAAACACAGTCACAACACAGCCACAACGCATCCACACAGCAACAACCCAGCGATCTGAAACAAATAACTGACTTTGGATACCAAGGTGCAACACAAGCGTCCGTCATCAGGTGGGAAAGCATGGTCTGCTGCTGAGGCAGTTTTTAAAAGGTTTGAAATGGGTGTAGCCCAAGGGTCATAAAGAAGTGGCCGGGGCTAGGGATGTGAATGTGAGAAATTAGCATGTAACTGTAAGATAGGAGAGCGGCCTCCTCGACAAGGGCACGGAAGTGGCTATGTTAATGTGAGAGATTAGCATGATGTTAATGTGAGAAATTAGAGGGCACGGAAGTGGGTATGTTAATGTGAGAGATTAGTATGATGTTAATGTGAGAAATTAGAGGGCACGGAAGTGGCTATGTTAATGTGAGAGATTAGCATGATGTTAATGTGAGAAATTAGAGGGCACGGAAGTGGGTATGTTAATGTGAGAGATTAGTATGATGCTAACGTGAGAAATTAGAGGGCACGGAAGTGGCTATGTTAATGTGAGAGATTAGTATGATGCTAACGTGAGAAATTAAGAGGGCACCGAAGTGGCTATGTTAATGTGAGAGATTAGTATGATGTTAATGTGAGAAGTTAGAGGGCACGGAAGTGGCTATGTTAATGTGAGAGATTAGTATGATGCTAACGTGAGAAATTAGAGGGCACGGAAGTGGCTATGTTAATGTGAGAGATTAGTATGATGTTAACGTGAGAAATTAAGAGGGCACGGAAGTGGCTATGTTAATGTGAGAGATTAGTATGATGCTAACGTGAGAAATTAGAGGGCACGGAAGTGGCTATGTTAATGTGAGAGATTAGTATGATGCTAACGTGAGAAATTAAGCGGGCACGGAAGTGGCTATGTTAATGTGAGAGATTAGCATGATGTTAATGTGAGAATTAGAAGGCACGGAAGTGGCTATGTTAATGTGAGCGATTAGCATGTAACTGTAGAAAACGGGTGACACTTTTTCCTCCAAGCAATAAATTCCTGGGTTGTATTCCCAACTAAGGTGCATTACTGTGTGGGTTTTTATCTTCTTGCCATGTTTTGAATGGATTTCCTCCGCGTTCTCCAATTTCCTCCATTAGCTAAAAACAATCCCCAATGTAAATGGTATTGCTCAAATGATCTCAATGCTCAAAAATCACACTGCAAATCACTCTCATTTGGGATGACAAACAGCAAAATCGCCACCTACTGTGAAAACTGGCAGGACCATCCTAAAACAGAATCTTGAGACTCGTTGAGACTTTCCCGGGTAAAGCAAGCGTCAACGTTTAACGATAGAGGAGCACGAACCTTGTGAACTGGACGATGGCTTCACAAAGTCCCACACTTCGGATTTTATCGTCAATGTTGACTTCGGAAGGGAAATAGTACAGAATCTTCTTGTGTTCCTGGTGAACATAGATCCAGAATAAAAATCAGTGACGAGTCAAGCAGCCTCAACCACGCATCACTTAAACGCCCAACATAGTTTATACATGTCCGGCGCTCTTGTCATCGATCTACTGCTGGATAAGGGGCTGCCCACGCTGTGCAGGTCGTGGGGGTTACGTGAGCGTACTTCGCCGCACTGGGAAGTGCGGGTTGGTGAAGGCGGGGAGCAGCGTGGACACGGTAACCTAGAAGTATGGCAAAACAATGGATCAAGTGGAACTGCCCTCTGCTGTCCACCAGAACATCTAACCAATAGATGGCAATGTCAGATTTTTGTTTACAAAATTTTATTGGGAGAAAATCAAGTGTAAACATGAACTGAGAAAGTACAGTTTCACATTTGCTGATGACAATTATTATCACAACCGAAGGAAGTGAACTACAATACATTCTTTAACCGGGAGTATTCTCAGCGAGTCTCAAGACCCATGAAGGTCCTGCCTCACTGGATTACTCACCCACCCACCCACTCACCCGCCTACCTACTCAAAGACCACCCGTGTAGCCTTAACAGACTGTTGGGGCAAGTGTTGTTCGCGAGCACCGATGAAGGCCGGCGTGGCACACGAAGAGGTGAGTGGCCAGCACCACGCCGGGACCTACTCACCCACCTACTCACGTACTCACCCACTCACCTATTTATTTACTCACCTACCAACCCGCAAACCCACTCATCCACCCACTCACTCAATAAACAATTACTATACTGGGCGGTGAGGTATAGCGCATAGGACGCTTTTTGCAGAGATCCGTGGTTCAAAATCCAGGGGCTGCCCTGATTAGTATCGCTGCGGGTGTCGTAACCGGAAAAAAACTTCACTCGCAGTGGATGTTAAAGAACCCTTCCTTCAATCGTAAGACTCGGCCATTGTGTGCCGGCGTCATTGTCTACATTTGCCAGGTTACAGACGCTGCAGACGAAGCAGACCCCGGCCTGGCAGCAGAAGCCTGCAGACGACACTCGTCCTGCGGTCTGCTGCCCTGGCAACTCGAAGCCCACTCGCTCGCTGAGCCACCGCTGCTGAAAGCATTCACTGCCAGAAGGCGTTGTGTGGCCGGAGGGAGCGAGGCCGTACCTCGCCCTCACGCGGCCCGAAGCCGGGGTTGTAAACACAGAAGCTGACGAGGGCCGGCGAGGCGATGCCGCCCGGCTGCATGGCGCCGGCTCCGTGCGCCCTCCGCGTGGCGGTGCCTGCGCGAAGCTGCAAACCTCGCGGCGGAGACCTACAAAGTCATCGCGCGGTCACATCCACTTGCCCTCACTGTGGTCCCCACGTTAGTAGCCAATGCTTAACACGTTAGTAGTCACTGTGGTACTCACGTTAGTAGTCACGGTGGTACTCAGTTAGTAGTCACGGTGGTACTCACGTTAGTAGTCACTGTGGTACTCACGTTAGTAGTCACTGTGGTACTCACGTTAGTAGTCACGGTGGTACTCAGTTAGTAGTCACGGTGGTACTCACGTTAGTAGTCACTGTGGTACTCACGTTAGTAGTCACGGTGGTACTCAGTTAGTAGTCACGGTGGTACTCACGTTAGTAGTCACTCTGGTTCCCACGTTAGTAGTCACGGTGGTACTCACGTTAGTAGTCACTGTGGTACTCACGTTAGTAGTCACTGTGGTACTCACGTTAGTAGTCACTGTGGTACTCACGTTAGTAGTCGCTGTGGTACTCACGTTAGTAGTCGCTGTGGTACTCACGTTAGTAGTCACTGTGGTCCTCCCATTAGTAGTCACTCTGGTACTCCCATTAGTAGTCACTCTGGTACTCACGTTAGTAGCCACTCTGGTACTCACGTTAGTAGTCACTGTGGTACTCACGTTGGTAGTCACTCTGGTACTCACGTTGGTAGTCACTCTGGTACTCACGTTAGTAGTCACTGTGGTACTCACGTTGGTAGTCACGGTGGTACTCACGTTAGTAGTCACTGTGGTACTCACGTTAGTAGTCACTGTGGTACTCACGTTAGTAGTCGCTGTGGTACTCACGTTAGTAGTCGCTGTGGTACTCACGTTAGTACTCACTTTGGTACTCACGTTAATAGTCACTGTGGTACTCCCATTAGTAGTCACTCTGGTACTCACGTTGGTAGTCACTCTGGTACTCACGTTAGTAGTCACTGTGGTACTCACGTTGGTAGTCACTGTGGTACTCACGTTGGTAGTCACTGTGGTACTCACGTTGGTAGTCACTGTGGTACTCACGTTAGTAGTCACTGTGGTACTCACGTTAGTAGTCACTGTGGTACTCACGTTAGTACTCACTCTGGTACTCACGTTAGTAGTCACTGTGGTACTCACGTTGGTAGTCACCGTGGTACCTACGTTAGTAGTCACTCTGGTACTCACGTTGGTAGTCACTGTGGTACTCACGTTAGTAGTCACTGTGGTACTCACGTTAGTAGTCACTGTGGTACTCACGTTGGTAGTCACTGTGGTACTCACGTTAGTAGTCACTGTGGTACTCACGTTAGTAGTCACTGTGGTACTCACGTTGGTAGTCACTGTGGTACTCACGTTGGTAGTCACTGTGGTACTCACGTTAGTAGTCACTGTGGTACTCACGTTAGTAGTCACTGTGGTACTCACGTTGGTAGTCACTGTGGTACTCACGTTAGTAGTCACTCTGGTTCCCACGTTAGTAGTCACTCTGGTACTCACGTTAGTAGTCACTGTGGTACTCACGTTAGTAGTCGCTGTGGTACTCACGTTGGTAGTCGCTGTGGTACTCACGTTAGTAGTCACTCTGGTTCCCACGTTGGTAGTCACTCTGGTACTCACGTTAGTAGTCACTCTGGTTCCCACGTTAGTAGTCACTGTGGTACTCACGTTAGTAGTCACTCTGGTTCCCACGTTGGTAGTCACTCTGGTACTCACGTTGGTAGTCACTGTGGTACTCACGTTGGTAGTCACTGTGGTACTCACGTTGGTAGTCACTGTGGTACCCACGTTAGTAGTCACTGTGGTACTCACGTTGTTAGTCACTGTGGTACTCACGTTGGTAGTCACTGTGGTACCTACGTTAGTAGTCACTCTGGTACTCACGTTGGTAGTCACTGTGGTACTCACGTTAGTAGTCACTGTGGTACTCACGTTAGTAGTCACTGTGGTACTCACGTTGGTAGTCACTCTGGTTCCCACGTTAGTAGTCACTCTGGTACTCACGTTAGTAGTCACTGTGGTACTCACGTTGGTAGTCACCGTGGTACTCACGTTAGTAGTCACTGTGGTACTCACGTTGGTAGTCACTGTGGTACTCACGTTGGTAGTCACTGTGGTACTCACGTTGGTAGTCACTCTGGTACTCACGTTAGTAGTCACTCTGGTACTCACGTTGGTAGTCACTGTGGTACTCACGTTGGTAGTCACTGTGGTACTCACGTTGGTAGTCACTCTGGTTCCCACGTTGGTAGTCACTGTGGTACTCACGTTAGTAGTCACTGTGGTACTCACGTTGGTAGTCACGGTGGTACTCACGTTGGTAGTCACTGTGGTACTCACGTTGGTAGTCACTGTAAGTACTCACGTTGGTAGTCACTGTGGTACTCACGTTGGTAGTCACTGTGGTACTCACGTTGGTAGTCACTGTGGTCCCCACGTTGGTAGTCACTGTAAGTACTCACGTTGGTAGTCACTCTGGTTCCCACGTTAGTAGTCACTCTGGTACTCACGTTAGTAGTCACTGTGGTACTCACGTTGGTAGTCACCGTGGTACTCACGTTGGTAGTCACTCTTGTACTCACGTTGGTAGTCACTGTGGTACTCACGTTGGTAGTCACCGTGGTACTCACGTTAGTAGTCACTCTGGTACTCACGTTGGTAGTCACTCTGGTACTCACGTTGGTAGTCACTCTTGTACTCACGTTGGTAGTCACTGTGGTACTCACGTTAGTAGTCACTGTGGTACTCACGTTAGTAGGCACTCTCGTACTCACGTTAGTAGTCACTCTGGTACTCACGTTGGTAGTCACTGTAAGTACTCACGTTGGTAGTCACTCTGGTACTCACGTTGGTAGTCACTGTGGTACTCACGTTGGTAGTCGCTCTGGTACTCACGTTGGTAGTCACTCTGGTACTCACGTTGGTAGTCACTGTGGTACTCACGTTGGTAGTCACTCTGGTACTCACGTTGGTAGTCACTGTGGTCCCCACGTTAGTATTCACTGTGGTACTCACGTTGGTAGTCACTGTAAGTACTCACGTTGGTAGTCACTGTGGTACTCACGTTGGTAGTCACTGTGGTACTCACGTTGGTAGTCACTCTGGTACTCACGTTAGTAGTCACTGTGGTACTCACGTTAGTAGGCACTCTCGTACTCACGTTAGTAGTCACTCTGGTACTCACGTTGGTAGTCACTCTGGTACTCACGTTGGTAGTCACTGTGGTACTCACGTTAGTAGGCACTCTCGTACTCACGTTAGTAGTCACTCTGGTACTCACGTTGGTAGTCACTGTGGTACTCACGTTGGTAGTCACTGTGGTACTCACGTTGGTAGTCACTGTGGTACTCACGTTAGTAGTCACTGTGGTACTCACGTTGGTAGTCACTGTAAGTACTCACGTTGGTAGTCACTGTGGTACTCACGTTGGTAGTCACTGTAAGTACTCACGTTGGTAGTCACTCTGGTACTCACGTTGGTAGTCACTGTGGTACTCACGTTAGTAGGCACTCTCGTACTCACGTTAGTAGTCACTCTGGTACTCACGTTGGTAGTCACTGTGGTACTCACGTTAGTAGTCACTGTGGTACTCACGTTGGTAGTCACTGTGGTACTCACGTTGGTAGTCACTGTGGTACTCACGTTGGTAGTCACTGTAAGTACTCACGTTGGTAGTCACTGTGGTACTCACGTTAGTAGTCACTGTGGTTCCCACATTGGTAGTCACTGTAAGTACTCACGTTGGTAGTCACTGTGGTACTCACGTTGGTAGTCACCGTGGTACTCACGTTAGTAGTCACTGTGGTTCCCACATTGGTAGTCACTGTAAGTACTCACGTTGGTAGTCACTGTGGTACTCACGTTGGTAGTCACTGTGGTACTCACGTTAGTAGTCACTGTGGTTCCCACATTGGTAGTCACTGTAAGTACTCACGTTGGTAGTCACTGTGGTACTCACGTTGGTAGTCACTGTGGTACTCACGTTAGTAGTCACTGTGGTTCCCACATTGGTAGTCACTGTAAGTACTCACGTTGGTAGTCACTGTGGTACTCACGTTGGTAGTCACTGTGGTACTCACGTTAGTAGTCACTGTGGTTCCCACATTGGTAGTCACTGTAAGTACTCACGTTAGTAGTCACTGTGGTACTCACGTTGGTAGTCACTGTGGTACTCACGTTGGTAGTCACTGTAAGTACTCACGTTGGTAGTCACTGTGGTACTCACGTTAGTAGTCACTGTGGTTCCCACATTGGTAGTCACTGTAAGTACTCACGTTGGTAGTCACTGTGGTACTCACGTTAGTAGTCACTGTGGTTCCCACATTGGTAGTCACTGTAAGTACTCACGTTGGTAGTCACTGTAAGTACTCACGTTGGTAGTCACTGTGGTACTCACGTTAGTAGTCACTGTGGTACTCACGTTGGTAGTCACTGTAAGTACTCACGTTGGTAGTCACTCTGGTACTCACGTTGGTAGTCACTGTGGTACTCACGTTAGTAGTCACTGTGGTACTCACGTTGGTAGTCACTGTAAGTACTCACGTTGGTAGTCACTCTGGTACTCACGTTGGTAGTCACTCTAAGTACTCACGTTGGTAGTCACTGTGGTACTCACGTTAGTAGTCACTGTGGTTCCCACATTGGTAGTCACTGTAAGTACTCACATTGGTAGTCACTGTAAGTACTCACGTTGGTAGTCACTGTGGTACTCACGTTGGTAGTCACTGTAAGTACTCACGTTGGTAGTCACTGTGGTCCCCACGTTGGTAGTCACTGTAAGTACTCACGTTGGTAGTCACTGTGGTACTCACGTTAGTAGTCACTGTGGTTCCCACATTGGTAGTCACTGTAAGTACTCACGTTGGTAGTCACTCTGGTACTCACGTTGGTAGTCACTGTGGTACTCACGTTAGTAGGCACTCTCGTACTCACGTTAGTAGTCACTGTGGTACTCACGTTGGTAGTCACTGTGGTACTCACGTTGGTAGTCACTGTGGTACTCACGTTGGTAGTCACTGTGGTACTCACATTGGTAGTCACTGTGGTACTCACGTTGGTAGTCACTGTGGTCCCCACACTTTACCCACCGGACGGATGGAAGCGGCGACTCCCGGCACGGCGAAGGCAGCGTCACGCGGCAGGCGCGAGAATCGATTCCCGCGATTGTACCACGACCCACCTCCGTCCGCCTCCTTTCCCTCCCCTCCGTGCCTCCCGAGGAAGACGTCGCGGCTGTGCCGGCGTCTCCCGGCCCCGTGGCTTCCCCAGAGAAGGCGGAACGAACGCGGAACGAGCGCGGAACGAACGCGGAGTGCGGTCGCGGCAGGAATCGTGAGCCCGGGAATCGGCGTGCCGGAGATTCGTTGCAGAAAATCGATTCGGCCTTGAGAAGTAAGGGACCGCGTCGAACGCAACCTTGTCTGACTCACGTCGCCGAAACGTCTCTTGTCCCCGTCTCTCGCTGCTTGGGCAACCCAAGTAATAGCGCCTCCAGTTGGCGGCGCTTCCCAGAGAGATTATCTGGTAAGATCACAGCCACACACAGACGTGCACCTCCGTTAAGCGCGGTTGGCTACGTACGGTACGAAACATACATTCGTGGTAGGCAGAAAGGGTCCGCGGTGAAGTGACTTCGCGGTAATGTCTGCAAGTTGAACTTAAATTTGGATTTAAAGCTTTCGTGACTGCAGTAATTCATATTCTTAGCTTTTTCGGTAAAGTCACGTTGAAGAAAAAACAATAAAATAATAAAATGTACATAAAACAATAAAAAATTATCACGACGTTACGACCATAACACAAACGGTCATCATGAGGTGTGAAAAACCAACGGCAAGAAACATTTGAAAGAAGTGGCGGTCCGCATTTATTTATTTATAAACGGCGTTTTATTTATTTTTAAACGTTAGCACCACGGATAGCGATTTGACAGTTTGTTTAGAAGGACGAGTCCATCTATGTTCTGAAAAGAGGAGGGGGGAGACGAAAAATTAATGTATGCTGTCTGAAAGCCACCGTAAGCGTGAACAATCAATTAAGACCCGAAATGGTTTATCAAATCTTTCCAATGATTGCTAAGCCAGAATCCATCTTCTCGGTTGAAATTGTTTCTGTGTTTGTATATGTGGATAGCCTCGTGAACGAATCTCTCATGGTAGCCAGATGGCTTACAAAGAACCTCTGTCTTGGAGAAGTCAATGTCATGTGAGTCTACTGAATTATCACAATGATCTGCCACGGATGCTTATCTGAAACCGGATTCCCACCACCATCCATCACAGAAGAATTATCTCATCAAGACTCTGCACCATAGAGCCCAATGCATATCCGACCAGACACACATAGGCAGTGAACTCAAGCACGTACACCAAGCTCTTAAGGCTAATGGTTACTCCGACTATACAATCCGCAAAGCTATCACTCAAACCATGAAGAAGGACCCTCTTGAGGAGCCTTTCAAAACCATAACTTTACCCTACATTGCGGGGATCACAAAAAAGATCTCCAAAATCTTGAATAAACACAAGATCCAGGTCCGTTTCAACACATTACATAAAATCCGTGATCTGGATCCGTCTGTAAAAGATGTGATTCCAGACATACAGTACCCTGGTGTCTACAAACTAAGTTGCCTCTGTGGTAGTAGTTACATTGGAGAAACCAAACGCCATGTCTCAGACTGCATTCGTGAACACAAAGCAGACCTTAAACACCTCGGCCGTGGCAGATCATTGTTATAATTTAGTAGGCTCACATGACATTGACTTCTCCAAGACAGAGGTTCTTTGCAAGTCATCTCGCTACCATGAGAGATTCGTTCATGAGGCTATCCACATATACAAACACAGAGACAATTTCAACCGAGAAGATGGATTCTGGCTTAGCAACCATTGGAAGGATTTGATAAACCATTTCGGGTCTTAATTGATTGTTCACGCTTACAGTGGCTTTCAGACAGCATACATTAATTTTTTTCGTCTCCCCCCTCCTCTTTTCAGAACATAGATGGACTCGTCCTTCTAAACAAACTGTCAAATCGCTATCCGTGGTGCTAACGTTTAAAAATAAATAAATCACCGCTTATAAATAAATAAATGCGAACCGCCACTTCTTTCAAATGTTTCTTGCCGTTGGTTTTTCACACCTGATGATGACCGTTTGTGTTATGGTCGAAACGTCGTGAGAATTTTTTATTGTTTTATGTATAATTTATTGTTTTATTGTTTCCCTTCAACATGACTTTACCGAAAGAGCTAAGAATACAAGTTGAACTTCTTTCGCACCATGCGTAGCCAACCGTGCTAATCGGAGGTGCGGGAGAAGAAGAACTAAACATTGAGAAATTAGTTTTACATCTAGATGATGATGATTTAAAAGTACAGATATCCAGTTGCTTCAGAATATTGGAAGGAAGAGCGTTCCAGACGGCCGCAGAAACGCATCTGAAAGCGCGAGCGATGAGGTAAACCGCCGTCTTTGTTCGATGGTGGAGGTTGCGTGATGGCTGATGGTCCTTGACGACATCAGCCAGGGAAGTCCAACAGCGGTTGTCTGACGCTCGCACCGGCACCCTGCCGTGGGAATGAGCCCATGGACCGGGACCATCACAGCGCGCGAGAAAGGAGAAACCCCCCCCACCCCCCCGTGTTGACCCCCGCCCCGCCCCACATCCCCCGCCCCGCCCCACATCCCCCGCCCCGCCCCACATCCCCCGCCCCGCCCCACATCCCCCGCGTCCCCGCCCGCCGAGTCGAGGTGCCGAGCTCAGAGTTCACGTCCTGACTGCCAGACTCGAAGCGAGCGAGACAAGGTAGGAGCCGTGAGCACTCACCCCTAGCACTCACCCCTAGCACTCACCCACAAACCAGGTCACTCACCCCTAGCACTCACCCCTAGCACTCACCCCTAGCACTCACCCCTAGCACTCACCCCTTGCACTCACCCCTAGCACTCACCCACAAACCAGGTCACTCACCCCTAGCACTCACCCCTAGCACTCACCCCTAGCACTTACCCCTAGCACTCACCCCTAGCACTCACCCACAAACCAGGTCACTCACCCCTAGCACTCACCACTAGCACTCACCCCTAGCACTCACCCACAAACCAGGTCACTCACCCCTAGCACTCACCCCTAGCACTCACCCCTAGCACTCACCCACAAACCAGGTCACTCACCCCTATCACTCACCCCTAGCACTCACCCCTAGCACTCACCCCTAGCACTCACCCACAAACCAGGTCACTCACCCCTAGCACTCACCCACAAGCCAGATCACTCACCCCTAGCACTCACCCCTAGCACTCACCCACAAACCAGATCACTCACCCCTAGCACTCATCCACAAACCAGATCACTCACCCCTAGCACTCATCCACAAGCCAGATCACTCACCCCTAGCACTCACGCACAAACCAGATCACTCACCCCTAGCACTCACCCACAAGCCAGATCACTCACCCCTAGCACTCACCCACAAACCAAATCACTCACCCCTAGCACTCACCCACAAACCAGATCACTCACCCCTAGCACTTACCCACAAACCAGATCACTCACCCCTAGCACTCACCCACAAACCAGATCACTCACCCCTAGCACTCATCCCAAGCACTCTCCTCGAGCACTCACCCAGAAACCAAAACATTCACCCCTAGAACTCACCCAGAATCCAGAACACTCACTCCGAGCATTCACCTCTAGTCCTTCCACATGCCCTGGTGAATGTATTTGACTGCAACCACGTCGTGCTGTTTGTTGCTGGCCGCTTGACGTCCTGGGCGTAACGGTCTGTGCTCAGTGGCAACTGTGATTCGTATGAACACGCGCACAAGGGCCTCCAGCGGGGCCAGTGAGCGCCCCGATGCGGCCACAAGCGACGTTCACGGCTCGCAGTTAGCACGAATCGTGTGCTGGATGGGGTAGTGAGCCGTGAAGGCGACTTTCTCCTTCACGGTATGCACTGCTGACTGCACAGAGGAGACTGCCATCTCCTTTAGTGACTTGTGTTAATCACTGACTAACGACACACACACTCCCTCAGCCCAGATAACATCATGAGGCGATGTAGGGATGACCCTGCTGGGGCTGCCGTGCCTGAAATATTGAAAGTAGCCACCCCCTGTGAGTGGCTGGTTGAGTTTCCGTCTGTTGAGGAAGTACGAAAGGCGATCCGGAGTCTGAGACCAGGATAAGCGTTGGGTTTCCGTTCCTCTTCTGCGGTTTGCGCGAGCCAGGTCGGCCCCTCCGGTGCGGTACCCCACACCCGGCACCATGTCGCTACAGAGCAGCGGGCGGCAGCAGAGAGAGGCACGCGGCGCCAACGCAAGGGCGGAGGGGCAGCAGCAGCAGCAGGAGGAGGAACGCCGGGAGGTGACCCTCTTCCGCGAGTACCTGCGCATCCGCACCGTGCACCCCGAACCCGACTACGGTGATTTTGCGGCGTGTGGCGATCCGGCGGTGTGCACGTCCCGTCCCCACGTGTCCGCCGACTCCTTGTCCGTCCCGTCGCCTCTCCCTCGGCCTGTGTGAATGCGTCGCGTGCAGCTCGGCTCGGAGGGCTGGGTGGCTCACAAAGTTCCGTTCTGAACGTGGTCAAAAAGAAAAGCCAAAGTGATTTCTGGCTCAAATGAGCGTTGAGGAATTGGTGCTCATCTCCTGTTTTCAGCCCCAAGTCAGTGGTGGAAATTACACATTCCCATGGCGGAGGCAAGTCTCTGCGTAGGATAACGAGTGTTGACTTGCCAACAAACCGGTACTGAAGTTAGACCACTTTAGTTGATGTTGTTGAACTAGGTGAGAACTCAAGAGCCTGGATGAGTCTCATTTCAGAATGTGTTTTTATCAGAATCAGAATATTTATACAAAAGCAAAACAAATAAAATTAAATTACAGCAATGGAGCCAAATAGAAATGGGAGCAAAAAGATGACCGTGTTACAGAATAAATCTAAACCGTGCACAACCACACATCAATACGGAATCAAATGCATTTGCTGGAAAGAAAGTTGGCCTGGACATATCACGTTTAAAAACCGTTCGCAGTAAAATGAAGTTACAGAAACATCAGCGTGGGTTGAGGTGATTGCTGCACCCGTGTGTACACAGAGGTGCAGTCAGATACGGTGCTGCTCACTGGTGCAGCTGGTGCTGCCCGTGCTGACCCATGCTTCTGTGATCCTGCCCGTTCCCAGACTCTGCTATTGCATTTTTGGAGCGCGTGGCCATCGATCTTGACCTTCCATTGAAGAAGTATGAGGTTGGTACCAAACGTTGCTTGGTGAATGGGTGTGCGAGCTTCCGTTACTGCTGTGTAATCCCAATTGAGTAATATGCATGGGTGATGTAGCGATGTAGAGACTGATACTGCTGATGAAGCGTGGGTCGTGGTGGTGGGGAGCGGTAGTGTAGCGGTTAGTGCGCTGCACTATGAACTCGGTAGCCCGAGTTCGCTTCCCGGTCATGGCCAAGACCAGTGACAATTGACTGAATCGGTCCTGGGCCTCCCCTAGTTCGACTCGGCCTCAAATAAGTACCCAGTGCAGTGTGCAAACATCGTTACTAGGGAGACAAAGGCGGCCGAGCGTGGTGCTGGTTACTCACCCCCTCGTACCCCGTACCGGGCTTCATAGGTGCTCACCAGAGCACTTTCCCTGACAGTCTGTTAAGGCTATATGGGGGATTTTTGTCTTTGGGTGGCGGCCGGGGTGACGCGGGCCTGTGTGTCGTCTCTGTCTCTGCTCTCAGCTGGAGCCCTCTCTCATTGCCGTGGTGATCACGTGGGAGGGCAGCAACCCCGCTCTGCGCTCCGTGCTGCTGAACTCCCACACGGACGTGGTCCCTGCCTTCCAGGTCGCGCGGCTGTTTTGTGGTGCTCAGCGCAGATCACCCGGGAAAGCCTCACCGAGTCCCTTTTGCAGGAGGGTCCTGCCGAATCTTCGCCGTTGGGGGCAATGTTGCTGCTGCTGTGTGTGATCCCATCAGTAGGGGGCACAGTTTGTGCATCTGCCAGTCATCTCACTCAACCCATGTACGTGTGTTGAACTTCTTTCGCACCGTACGTAGCCAACAGTGCTAATCGGAGGTGCGGCACCTCGGTCTGTCCCATGACCTCTCAGCGACCCTTCGACACTTCACGTGACCTCAAAGTGCACCTGGCCTGACACAGGCGCCATGGTGACGTCACCGCCACTTAGTGGCAAATTACTACTGTTGTTGATCCTAATTCAGTAGTTTCCAGGTACATTTTCGAGCAATGGGATGTTGTTTGGCCAACACCAGTTACATTGTATGAGTTTTTTATATATGGGATGAAACCGGAGAACCCATAGGAAACCCATGCAAAACAAAGGGAGAACATTCAAACTTCACCCAGAGGCACTGAAGTTGGCACTGCCCTCTCACCCTAGCATTCCAAGATGCAGGTCACTCCTTCCTCGTTGCTATATCAAAGTAAGCAAGCGGACACGAGGCCTTCACGGGATCTGTAACATCTTAAAGCAGAGGGCACACGGAATTTTTCGGTGAATACTACTGCAGCATTAACCAGGGCAGCCTGCCGGTTTCAAACCGCGAACCTCCACAACAAGCTGCACTTCCATGATGAGATTCTCGTTCCCCGTCTCCACCGCATGGTTCCAGGAGCATTGGCAGTACGACCCGTTCGAGGCGGTGAAGGACGCCGAGGGGAACATCTATGGCCGCGGAGCACAGGACATGAAGAGCGTGGGCATCCAGTGAGTTCCCACTGCCCGAGCCGCCATGCGCTAATCCATGACGTGCGCTTGCGTTGAATCACAGCTGCTGAAATTATGCACTCCCAGGAAGCTGTGTGACCAATGTGTCGATATGTGACAGAGGTAAATTTCCTGCTTAGTGGTTTTGTTCTGAGGCTTGGATATCAGCTGGGCTGGTAAGGTTGGGGAGCTTCCATAGCCCACGGCCTCTTGTTCAGCATGGCCTATGAAAAGCGATTCTAAGTTAATCTATTTGGTTGCTTTGTCTGAGAGTTGAATTGCCAACCCACCCACTATTCCACCCATCCACGGTTCTACCCACCATCCCACTATTATACACACCCACCCACTATTCCACCCACTATCCCACCCACCCAATATTCCACATACTCAATATCCTACCCACCCACTATTCCACCTATCCACCATTCCACCCACCCACTATTCCACCTATCTACCCATGATCGCAGCTATATGTGTGCACCTCCCCTTCACCTCGCTGGGCCGCAGCCTGGATCGGTGAAGGAGCCTCTCGGTATGACGGCTCGTGGTTCCTGCCCCATGGCTCCGTGTCTCTCTCTACCGGATAAGCACGTAGTGAGCAGATCCCCCAGCTGTGATTGGAGGTTCGTCATTATTCTTGCGCTGTAGTCGGAGTGGACATTTAACAAGCAAGGACATCACTGCACGTGACGCGTAGCGGGTGTGACGTGTGCCGAGTGTGACGTGCGTCCCCCGTCCGTTACCCACGCTTGCAGCAATCGACGCGGTCCACGCTGATGTTTCTGTGACTTGATTTTACCGTGAACGGTTTTTAAACATCATTTGGCCAAAGCAACTTTCGTGATAGGAAATACATTTTTTATTAAAATTGATTTATGTTTAAACTAGATTCGAAGCTTTCGTGACTGCAGGAATTACTCTTTCGTTCTTTCGGTAAAGTCACGTAGAAAATAAAGTAAAAATGGAATATGACGTTTCTATTGCAACACAAGCAACCATCATCAGGTAAGAATGAATGATAAAACACAGACACGGATACAACACAGCAGACACACATGCAGAGAGAGACACACACAAAGACACACCGAGCGAGACACACACCAAGACAAACAGAACGACAACGAATCTGTGCCGAGGCCTGTGTGATTTATGTCAGTGCGGTTGTTTTTTAGCAGATTTGTTTTCTTGTTTTGCCATTATTTATATTTGTCTCTGCGCATTAGTATGCTTATGTCGTTTTGGTGACCCCGCTCACTCTTGCAAATGATTCATCCTGGTCTCTTGAGTTCTCACCGGGTCACACAACATCAACTTGGAACTCGTACAACCGAACAACACGTGTGCCTCATGTGTTACCTGCAGATACGTCGAAGCAATCCGGAGACTGCGCGACGAGGGGAAGCGCTTTCCACGCACGCTGCACCTGCTGTTTGTCCCCGGTTGAGTCCCTCGCCACACGATCACCGCTCAGCCCCGCGCTTGCTTCATCGTGCATGCAACCAGATTCAGGCAACCGCTTGGGCCACGGCTCATAGCGCACGCCGTGCGATGAGCCGTGATCGATGGGAGCTGTGATTGATGTATGCCTTGTGGCCGTGTGCAGATGAGGAGGTCGGAGGATTTCGTGGGATGAGTCTTTTCGTTAAGAGCCCAGAGTTCAAAGCCTTGAACGTGGGATTTGTTCTGGACGAAGGTAGGGTTGAGATCTATTTTGCTACTTGTGATGTTTCATCCGCTTTAGTAAAATGAATTTGTGTAGTTTGTATGGGGCAGCGATGCAACTCAATGTTATCGCATTCGCCATTTGTTGCAGAGGTTTGTGGCTCGAATTCGACACGCCACTCTGCTTAACTCTGCGGGTACATTAACCTTTAAATACCCCATGCTGTCTGCTTCGCATTGGACATTAAAGATCCCGTGACACCATTCGAAACGAGGAGCCAATCGCATGCCGGCATCACGGTCCAAATTTGAAAACTTACATCGCAAATTATTCACTTGGTATTACAGCAGCAACATCGCCCCCTTCTGTGAACCACTGCACACTGCGTCTTTGAAATACAGCGGCGCCTTCCTGCGATCAGATTGATGGCGCTCAGAGCAAATGTGCTGCTTAGTTCCATGGGAGGACATGGTTTTATGGGTAGTAAGTCTTAACACCACGTGCCTACCCCATATATTTTAAAGTTCATATTGCAAAAACTTTTATGTCACAAATCACCTTTCCACATCTGTCCCTCCACGTGTGCATGTGTTGTGCTGTCTGCGTGCGTGCATGTGGACGTGCATTTGTCGTGCGGTGTGCAGGCCTAGCCAATCCCACAGATGCGTACACAGTGTTCTACGGGGAGCGCAGCTGCTGGTGTGAGTAGCGTCACCGCACTCCACACTCCTCACTCCCCGCCCACCACACGCCGGGCACCGTGCGGAGGGCGAGGCAGCGCCGGAGGAGATGACATCAAAGTGACGGCGCTCGCTGACTGTGTGCGTGCCGTGTACGTGCTGTGTGTATGCGTGCAGTGTGCGTGCGCGGTGTATGACCGCCGTGTGTGCGTGTGGCGGCGCAGGGGTCACCGTGAAGTGCACTGGCCACCCGGGCCATGGCTCACGCTTCATCACCAACACCGCCGCCGAGAAACTGGTAACGAATTTTCTTACTCCATTGCCTTGGTTTTGTGAGTCAGCCGCTTGAATTCTATTTGTGTGCTGCACGTGTAGGTACGATGTTACTGTCTAGCGGCACATAAAATCATTACTTTACTCGTCATATCCCGAGTTTGGGGGTCAGGTGGTGACACCACAACCAGAAGTACCTGGGTTTGACTCCTGACATAGGTGCCTCTCTGTGTGGAGTTTGTGTGTTCTCTCTCCCCCTGTTCTCTGTGAGTGTCCTCCCATAGCTACAAAACACCCACACAGTGTAACTATTACTGGGCAAAACATCCCAATGCAGAATATGTTACTTTGGAATGATCACACAGCAGCAACAGCAACAACATCGCTCACCACTGCAAAAAACTTGACAGGACCCTCCTGAAAAATAATATTTTGGGAGGCATTCCTGAGTAAAAAATCCGAGTATAAATAATAGTTACAGAGCATTATGGGTTACAGGGAATCGAGCAGACCTTCCTTGTCTGGATTCCCATAAAAGTTCACAGGGGGTGTCAACTCGTCCCCTCTCGGCTTTGGGGCGAGCGTTGCCCAACGGCATTTGTACCCTGTGCTACCTATCTTGGTGCGTGATCTGTGCATCGATGTTTTTCGTTCCAGCAAAAGATTATAAACGCCTTCCTGGGCTTCAGAGAAAAGGAGAAGGCAAGGTGATTGTGGCGTCGCGATCGTGCGTGGTACCCACTCGTCACGGCACGGCCACCGCCCTCCACCGACGTGCAGCGCGATCGCTGGCTTCGTCGTGAGCGTCAACAAGTTAGAGTGGTCTTCTCCGCATGTCCAAAGGGCGGCTGCGCGCACGTGCCTAGTGTGACCGATATAAGCCAAACGTTTCCACTCGGGAAACATTTTCTGCAACCGCTGTCATTGCTCAAGCCGAGCTGTTAATGCCTCTGATGTTTGCATTGCCTCTGTGCTGTTCGCCCATTGGTGTGTTCTCTGGTCTTATACTAGTGGTGAGATAGGTCTGTAAAGGAGGCTGTCTCTGGTGTAGACCAATCAGTTTCAAAGACAATGCATACTTTATCAAATAATGTTTGCATGTTTTACCACAAGAATGTGTAGTTAATGCAAACCTGATGCCTTGCAATAGGTGTCTATTTGGTGTTTGAATATATTAACACCTCAATTATTTCCAGAGAGTAAAGCGTATTCTTATTTCATAATTTGATATCGGCAAAAAGGGTCCCATAGATAGTGTATTCCCTGCACGTCACTCGATTGGAGACACTCACGCAAGCATCGCCCCCTACTGCGACAAACTTGGCAGGACCCTCCGGACCCTCCTGAAATAGTCTTGAGACTCAGTGAGGCTTTCCTGGGCAAATGAGTGGAGTCATCGTCACACACAATAATCTTCCTCCATCCCATCAGCCACATGCCCTTTGGTCATTCCAACATTTCAGCAGCATCAGTTCAACACAAGCAAAACTCTGGACCAGTTTCAACTTTCAGTGTCTCCTCAGCAGTCGGGCTCGTTTGAACCAATGCTTGTGAACTGCCACCTGCAGCAGGCGAGGCCCCTCTGTTCGACACCTTGAGTCCTGGTTGTTCCCACAGGCTGGACTGCAGTGCGTGCATGACGCTAGGTGATGTCACCACCGTGAACCTAACCATGGTGCATGGCGGAGTGCAGTACAACGTGGTGCCCGCGGAGCTGGCCGCCAGCTTCGATATCCGTGTGCCTCCCGCTGTCGACCTGCAGGTCACGCGCCCCCTCACCCAGAGATCGTCGCCTCCTCAACCACAGCACTTGTGCCAGTGTCAGTGTGTGTCGGTGTGCGTGTCAGAGTATGTCACCGTGTGTGGCAGTGCGGAAATGAGTGTGTGTCCGTTTGGATGTTGCTGAGCATCGGTAATGTGCCGGTGTGGAAGTCTGTGTGCCCGTTTGGATGACAGTGTATGCCTGTGTGAGCATCAGTGTGTGTGTGTGTGTGCAGCTAACATCGGTGAACATCTAAAATGGTCCTGGTCTTCTCCTAGGGCGACTCAGCCTTAAATAAATACCATGTGCAGTAAATGGCATTGGGGAGACAAAGGCGGCCGGGCGTGGTGACGGGCCCATCGCCCCATTCGGGCCTTCAAAGGTGCTGCTTGCTAACAGCACTTGCCTGAGCAGCCTGTGTGGGCGACACGGGGGACCCTTGTCTTTGTGTGGTCAGACTCCGTGGCTGCACCGAAGTTCAACTCAATCATAGTTTCCCAGTAGACAACAGTGGCCAGAGAGCGGTGATGGCAGCGCTGCTGCTGCTGCTCCCGCTGCGGTGAGGCTGTCTTGGGTAAACCATAACAATAATGAATAGCAATAATGCTGCTGTGGAGAGGTGCTGGTGCAAATGGATGTGCCCGCGGTGCCC